TGTTGTACTTTGCTCGCTAATATATAAACATGTAATCATAATCAGCACAAAAATGTATTTATCCATTGCATTTTCTCTTTTTTAGAACTGATTAGAGATGGCAACGGGGCGGGGTTAGGGTGGGGGACCTCTCTCCCATCCCCCGCCCCGTTGCCTACAAACTCCCCCCAGCCCCCGCCCCATTCCCCGTCCCCCGCTCCCCCCGCCCCGTCTCCACCCCGCCCCGCTTCCCCCGCCGGAGCACCGGCGGGGCTAATAAAAATTTATTATATAATTTTATTATGGTTAAATTTTAACAAATAATCAAGTACTAAAATATCAACACATCATCAAATTATTATTCATTGTAATTTTACAATTGAAACTTATAAAAACAATCAAATAAAAATTATTTGAATACAATCCAACATGATGAAATAAATATAACTAAAGTAGTCAAGTTTTCACTTTTGGCACAAATACAATTACTAATTTATTATTGTGCTTGTGCTTTTTTTAAGAAAAAAATGTTATTGTATTAAGTGTAATTAGGGATTTAGTATAAATGTATTGGTAAATTTAGTATAACCAATTAATAATTTTTATTAGTACACATATATATTTATTAGTATAATTAATAATATCAATTATATTATATATACTAATAGACATTATATAATACATATAACTAATAATATCATTATAATAAGTTTGTAACTAATTAAATTATATATTATATATATAATTATATACATATATATTTTATATATTTATTTTTTTAAAGCGGGTGGCGGGGCAGGGGATGGGGCGGGGGTACACTCCCCCGCCCCAACCCCCTCCCCATTAGCCCCCTGCGGGGCGGGTGCCCCCCATTGCCATCCCTAGAATTGATATTTACAGTATTAGCATCGAAACTTGGTTATCCTTCACATAGCATTTTAGGATATTGACATTTTCCATTTCATCTCTGTTTTTGCATCAGCTGTCTCCTGTCTAATTCGGATTGTGGATTTTCCTGCCCCACTTTCAAGGTACATGCATTTCTTTTTAATTTAAATTTTGCATATTAACCCATAGCTATATCATTTGCTTTCATTCTCTACTTTTGTTTCTTTTTTATTTAAATATATTTGTCATTCCCATCGTTTATTGCCATTTTTATTTTTATCTTTTTCCAGCACGTATGGATTTTCTTTGTTACTGTTGTTATATGATCTATAACATAAAACTTGTGCTATCACATTCACTGTCAATTCTGTGACTTTTGCTACCAAGAGTCATCTTGTGATATGGGCCGAAAGCGCAAATTTATTTCTGAAGTCGAGCATCGTATACAAGCTAATCAACGTCGATGAGAAAGATTGCTAAGAAAGCAACAGAGAAACAACAAAAAACACAACAGAATACTATATATCAAAACAGAAACAACCACACTGCCCATGCTATACCTTTTTCTCCAACAGATGATACACTTGTTGATGTTCCTCTTCATAATGATGTATCACTTTCAGCTCTATTGAAAGCCAAGTGTACATGTTTTCAAATGCCTGTTGTTAACTTTTGTGATCAGTCAACCATGCATTTCAACTCGACAAACGACACTGTTAATCAAAGTATTCTCTTGAGCCTCCTAATCTAATTGTTTTATACTGGCTATCAAATCCTTATGAAACCTTACAAATTGTTACTGTTTGTTTTTTTGCCTCTATCAACAGTTCTTGCAACAACTGACTGTCTGCTCTCTCAAAACATCCTTCCTGGATAGCTTTTCAAACAAATATTATGCACCATTCCTTAGCTGTAGATTTAGGTAGGTTTACTAATTATTTATCAACTATACTTTTCTCTTCTCTTCTTATATACTAACAACTATTAATTTTTCGAACTTTTGAATCCATTCTTCTTTATTGTGATCTCTTCTGCAATCTTGCTATCCTCTACTATCAACTGTTCTATCTCAAGGCCGTCCATCAACCAGTAGTCTGCAGCATCCAACTAGTAGCTAGATATTATAAATTTATATATACATATGTGTATGTGAGTGTGCCTTGGATTCTTTACACTTTTTCTCTTTTCCCTATCAGTTAGAGGCACCTATATTCCATATTCTATAGGTCCACGTCGTATAAGAAGAAACATATCATTGTTGGAACAAAATACCACTTCACCCAAGTGTTTTGCTAGAAGTTCAAGACCGTATTTTTTGTCGTGCTGAGCGATTCTACATGGAGCCACCGAGATTCTGTTGTTCAGCAGGTGAAATGCACTTAGCAGAAACTCATATGCCAGAAAAATTGGTTCAACTTTATAGGGCAAATACTCCTGAAGCTTGAGAATTTCGATTGTGCATCAGGAATTACAATAACACGTTTGCTTTTACATCCCTTGGTGTTCATTATGATAAAAATCTTAGTAGAAGGAATAATGGTATATATACATTCAGAGTACAGGGCCAGATTTATCACTTTTATCAATCCATTGGATCCTTCTGAAGATGAAGCAGCAACAAACCTGTAATTATATTTTTATGATACGCAACATGAGATAGCCAATTGGATGGCAATTTCTAGTAAGTTCAAGGAATCCATTATCCAGCAGCTCAAACATATTCTTCATGATAATCCTTATTCCACCTTCATAAGAAGCTTGGTGGACCTCTATGATCTTGAAGATCACAAAATTTTCTTGAAATCAGATCCAGGTTTGAATCAAAGAGTCTACAACCTTCCTGTAGTGTCTCAAGTAGCAGCAATATGGAATAAAAATGATCATAACACTGGTGATAGCACTGAAATTATCCAGATTTCACAAAGACAGGAAGCAAGCGCATATTAAAACAATATTATGGCTATTATGATACACTTCAATATCCACTTATATTTGTAAAGGGTGAGACTGGATGGCACTAAGGTATACTGCGAATACCAAGATCAGACATTCTTAACCAATCAGGTGCAACATGCCTGAAGCAAAGTATTCTCTCAACCCAAAATTGCTTGCACATAGATGAAGTCATTTTTGCTGAAGAAAAAAGTATTGATAACAATTAATCACAATTTCAAAAGACTCATTCAAATTTATTTATATTTTGCTGCTTTCCATTCAATTCCTCATTTATATTATTAGTTTTCACAATCAATTACAATTCCAAAACATTTATGCATATTTACCTATATTTTAATTCTGTCCCTTCAATAACTAATTCATATTCTTGTTTATTTCTGACAGTGTCAAAAAAAAAAAGAAAACCAAGAGACCAACAATATCTTGCCATGGATATTATGCATATAAGTTTCAAATAAGAGATAGTGATGAATCAAATCTATTACACATAGGAAGACTACTACAACAGTACTCAGTGGAGACCTATGTTAAGTTGGAGACATCACAGTTGGAATTTCACAGAAATAGGCAGCAACACTTAAGAACTGAAGTTTATCAAGAACTAATGGATAGTGTAACAAGTAGTGAGATTTCAAGATAAAAAATTGGTAAACGAATTATTCTTCCAGCGAGTTTTATAGAAGGCCCCAAAGATATGCGTCGAAGATATATGGATGCCATGTCACTTATTCAATGGTATGAAAAACCTGACACCTTTCTCACTATGACATGTAATCCACCTTGGCCAGAGATAAAAAAAAACATTAAACAGATGAAGATGAAATCCAAAATAGACCACATTTGATTTCCCAAGTATTTCGAGCAAAAATTGAGTAGTTAAAAGATGATTTGTTCAAAAGAAATCTCTTCGGTGAAGTCGCAGCTTATACTTATGTGATTGAATTTCAGAAACGAGGATTATCATATGCTCATTTCCTGATTATCCTTAGACAAAGATCAAAGATGTTTTCACCTGAAACATATAATAGAATTGTTTCTACAGAACTGCCAGATCTAAGAGGTCACCATATTTATATTCATTGGTAATAAAGCACACGCTTTCATGGACCATATGGTACATTGAATCCAAACAGCCCTGTATGTCAAAATGGCAAGTGTAGAAATAACTATCCAAAAGAATTTTATGCATACACTAAACATACAAAGAACTCCTATCTTGTTTACAGAAGGCACAACGATGGAAAAAATATTGTTGTCAGGGATCATCTGTTTGAGAATCGCTGGATTGTGCCATATAATGCATATTTGCTTGCAAAATTTGACTATCACATCAATGTCGAGATATGCTCTGCTATTAAAGCAGTATAATATATTTACAAGTACGTCTACAAGGAACACGACAAGGTTATGTATCAGATCACTGCTCAACAGACAGAAAATATCATTGATGAGATTCATAATTTTCAATCTGCTAGATGAATTTGTGCTCCTGAAGCTATGTGAAGGATATTTGCATTTGATGTAACTAACAGTCATCATCAGTAATAACAATGCATTTACATTTGAAAAATTATCAGCCTATATCATTTACCAAAGATTAGACATTGCAAGATGTTTTTGGTAATGAAAGAAATTCAAGGACAATATTGACAGAATTTTTCTCTATGAATCGAACAAATAAAAAAGCACAGAACCTCAATTGTCTCTATAGAGAATTTCCTCGATACTTTACTTGGGATGAAGGTGATAGGATGTGAATCGACAGAAAACGTGGAGAGATCATCAGCCGTATTAACACAGCACACCCTATTGAAGGAGAAAGATATTACCTCAGAATGTTACTTATGTATGTGAGAAAACCAACCTCTTTTGATGAGTAAAAATCTGTCGACGGTCACCAAGCATCCTCATACAAAGAAGCTGCAAAACTACGTGGATTACTCTAAATAGACAATGGTTTTGATGAATGTTTATCTGAGGCACTTGTATACAACATGCCATGTTTCCTAAGACAACTTTTTACTCTCCTACTTGTACACTTCACACCAACAAATCCAAGAGCCGCTTGGTTTAAATTTGAGAATCATCTGTTAGAAGACATTAAACAAAATTCAGCTTTATTGCAACGACAAGTGCAAATTCAAGTTCTCAACTTGATTGACCAGCATCTCCAGATCATGGGAAAAGATATAACTGATTACAACCTCACAGATATTCCTTATCATGTGTTGTGTTCAGATAAGTTTCTGAAAGAAATTGAAGTTGAGTATCAGATACCTATTTCTGATGAAGATTTGGCTTCAGTCTCAATGTTAAACAGAGCACAAAAGTTTGCATTTGACAAAATAATCCAAAAAATTAATGAAAATGTTCTTGTTATTTTTTTCATTGATGGTCTCGGTGAAACTGGTAAATCTTTTTTATATAAAGCATTGCTTGCAATTGTGAGATCAAGAGGTCATATTGCACTAGCAACAACAATGTCTGGTGCTGCAGCATTGCTATTGCCAGGAGTACGCACGGCACATTCTCGTTTCAAGATTCCACTTCACCAAGACAGCAAGCAAACCTGTAACATCTCAAAACAAAGCAGTATCAGTAAGCTTCTAAAACTTGCAAAGTTGATTATATGGAATGAAGCAACAATGGCTAAAAAATATGCAATTGAATCATTTGATGCAATGCTTCATGATATTCTAGATTGTGATATTATATTTCGTGTCAAAATCATTGTGTTTGGTGGAGATTTTCGATAAACTCTCCCTGTTGTTCGAAGAGGTCAGAAAGAAGATTATATATCTGCATCACTTGTCAATTCTTACATCTAGCCTCAGCTGCAAAAAATGCATCTAACTAAAAATATCTGAGCTCGATTGGATCCCCAGTTTTCTGATCTTCTGCTTAGAATTGGGAATGAGACAACCAACATTTGGAGACAGCAAAATTCAATTGCCATTATCTATCCTGATACTTTTGTCAATGATATTGTTTCTCTTGATTAGTTAATAAGTGCTGTCTATCTATCACTCACTGATTTCATTCACAATACTTCAAGTGTCATCAATAGAGCCATTCTTACTACAATAAATGACTTTGTCCATGATATAAATAACCTTTTGATTCAAAGATTTCTTGGTCAAGAAACAAGATACATGAGTTTTAATGAAACACTTGACCCCTCAAAGCAAGCTGATCACTGAGATTTTCTCAACACTATCCAATCGCCAGGATTATCATCTCACAAGTTAATCTTGAAACCTTATTGTCCTATAATTCTTTTGAGAAATTTGAATCCCGCTGAAGGTTTGTGTAATGGAACACGTTTAATTTGTTTGAATTTTGCTCGCAATCTTATTCATGCACAATTACTTCAGGAAATCATAGTGAAAAACAAGTTTTCATTCCTTGAATTCCACTTCTTATCTCAAATGATGAATCTTACCCAATACCATTCAAGTGAACTCAATTCCCTGTTTCACTATGTTTTGCAATGACTATTAACAAATCACAAGGCCAGACACTTGATTTTGTTGGAATATATTTAAAAGAACCAGTTTTTTCACATAGCCAGTTGTATGTTGCAATGTTAAGGGCAGGAACTGCGGAAAAACTAAAGATACTTCTAAGACCAGTTGTGCTTGAATGCATGCCAGACAATAGTACTCGAAACATTGTTTATGAAGAAATACTTGCAGTTGCAACTGCCACTTAAGTACCAATCTTTTGTATTCTATATCAACTTGCATCCAAGTTATTTACAACACATTCTCCTTTGTTTATCATATTTAACATGCTTGCATTTTATGATTTTTAGTCATTACTGCTAATAATTGTCTTCACTAATTTATATATTTCATATATTGTAGCTATGGGCGACAGATGTATTCCTGTTAGCAGTTTGACTCATGAGACAAAAGATTGGATGATCAAGGCAATCCTCACTGAAAAATCACCAATCTATCAATGAAAGGATCAAGGTTCTTGGTTCATCAGACTAATGTTTTCAGATGAACAGGCCAGAAACATATTTCGATTTACCTTATACAAAACTCACTATTACTTTTAATATTTCTCACACCATTGATTGTCATCTTGAATAACTAACACATCAAAAATTATGATTTTACTATCCAACCAATTATAGTCCCACACTCCCACTCCAATAAATTACTACTCTGATAAACATTTCATTTACTCATTTAGTTACTTGTTTCTCCAGCAAAACAAAAAAAAAGGTGATCGAAATACAGACTCTTTCTGCAACTCAGCTTTCAAATACTAAAATTTAATTATCTAAATCGTTCTCATCAAATTATATATATATCAATAAATCACTCTCTAGACAATTGTCAGACTTTCTTAGTTATCAATTACAAAACAACAAGATTAAATAACCAAACTATAAACAAAATTTGAAACCATTAATATCTCCTTATTCGCTTACTGCTTTTCCTCTTGTTTTGATAGCATGAATCAATTCAAGCAATTGCCTTTAATAGAGATGTCAATTACATTCATGAGAAATTACAACTTTATGAGATCTATTACATTGCAAATGCTGCTGTTGTACCAGTTACTGATCCAAGAAACCAAATTGGCTCTATTCCGCTCTAGTTAACACTCACTAAAGCTGTCTTCATCAAGAAAATCAGCAAAACAGACTCACTTCAGCTAGCAAACCGCTTTCATATCACTGCATTTTGGAGTCTTGACAAATACAAGAACAGTGATGCAGACAGATTCAGTATAAAAATTCATGAATAATGAATACTATATGGTAGTTTACTATACATTTTCTAATCAAAAAATTTTCATGTTCAACAAGATATCTTGTGTGTAGCAATCCATGCATTCCCAGAAGAAGTAGTTGGTACTGCAAGAGGACCACGTAGAATTCGAAGATTCAGAGTTGTGAATCCCAAGTAAATATCTCATGATCTTAACTCTGAAAACTGCAAAATAAATATACTTACAGAACATTTCATATATCAAGAAATCACTGATGATTTGCTTTCAACTGTATCACCCACATATTGAAATTTACAGATGTAGACCATTAATATTCATAATGTAGGAACCTTACATTTACTATGAAGGTGTTGAACTCATCAACACAATCCACACTCATCCATCAATTCTGATTCTATGACCTAGAATCACCACCTATCATGGTAAAAATATAGTTAAAATCAAACTGATGCTATTTACATTTAACTTAAATAAACATAGCTCCATTTACTTTCTTGGCACAATAAATCAGGAATTGACATTAGCACTCGGCCAAATAGCACAATTGTCCTGGATACCCCATTACATCAGACTGCTTCTCTCAAAACCTGGTATATTTTCATGTACAAATATCATTTTTTTTTTACTGAAAATTCTCTTCCTAACTATCCACATGAATACTGACATTTGTTTTACTATCACAGGTCTGAAGAGAACATTTCCTACATTCATAGAGTTATCAATGAAAGACTATGAGAAAAATAAACAACAAACAGTTGCACCACTCAACACTGAAGTTTGTTTGATTGGACAGATTCTTGCATCATCAAATCCGATAAAACATGGACATATATCCATCAATAATCTACATTGTCAACTGCATATCTTATTATTTTATAGTATCGTTGACTCAATTATACTAACATCTATATAACTCTGTTTGAATTAGATAAAGAACTTTTGGATTAGAGGAAAAATTAGAATCATCAATTGCAATCAGCGATTTTTCTTGCTGACATGTACTAGCTGCAACAACATCACTGGTGCTCCATGGATACGGAATTTGATTGCAATTTCTATGGATTCAAAGATACAAAACCAAAACTAAAGTCACTTCATTTTCAAGTTCTTAAAATTCCTTATTATACCCTTCACATATTCTATCTCATATGCTAATAATCATCTCTACCGCAGAGCTAAATTCTAGGCACAAGTTTATGATGAAATTGGTTTCATCGAAGCAACAGTAGAGGATCTAAATGCTGAGACCCTCCTTGATTTCATTGTCACTCAAATATATGAAAAACATCTACAGGTATATCAACTTTGATATAATTATACAAACAAATACAATTTCAGTCAATATTGTCTACCAAAATGACTAATAGAAGTTATCTTTTTACAGGGAGAATCGCCGCCCTTTACCAGAATTAATGAAAAATTGCAAAATCAAAACTTCTTCTCTGAGATGAGATCATATCTTCCCTCTCAAAAACATCTTCTCCCGCTATTTTTCCTCACAGCCTTCATCCCAGAAGAACCAGGACAAGATCCAAAAACTCATCAAATTGTTGAAGCACAACCATCAGAGTTAGTTGCAACTCCGCCATCCTTTCTAAAAAACAACACCACAGAAAACGTGGCTTCCATTGAACAAGTTTCCCCGACTCTCACTCCAACATCAACCTTATCTGTCATCCTAATAGATCAAGGCAACCACAAAGGTTCCTCATCTTCGGTAAAATGAAATCTTGAAGAAGAACTGACAAAGACAGCAAAGCATCCAAAGCTTAACTGAACTTCACAGTCAAGCAAAAAAATGACAAAAAATCTACTTTTGCTAGACATGCAAAAACACTAGCTAGGCATGCATTACTTTTGCTTCAAACAACAAGGTTCTTTTGTTATTTTGGTGATAAACTAGAATTTATGTGATTCTCACCTCTGTATCCATCTTTGCAATCACCAAAAGCTTAATATTGCTCGCAAATTATCGTAGTATTTTTACAAGTATTAGTTACTTCTACTAAAATCACTCCCGTTGCTCTTCTAATAGATCCTTTTTATCGATTTAACAAATCTTTAGTCTCACAACCATCTAATAAAATATATCAAACTATAACATAACCACAGAGACCCTATTGTATTAACCATTCAAAAAATGATTCCTCTCTCCCAACAAGGTCTTCCAACAAACAACAGTCAATTCACCTAATAAGAGCACCCCGCGTCAAACGCGAGGTCTCACTACCTAGTTTCTAAACAATGCGTAAGCTATACTATAATTGTTAATAGAGCTTTTCTTGTATACACTGAGGGTCTATTTGGTTCATGGAATGACACATGATTGAATTAACCATCATGTGTCATCCCATATTTGGTTGCATTTTATACATGAGATGATACATTCTAATTAATCGAATTAATCCCTTTTCATGGAATAAAATAATCTTATGAGGGAGGTAGTTCTAGTCATCTCAGGATAACTAACAGATAAGATGATAAAATTTTAGACTAATTTATTTTTACAAATAATACAAATGTATACTCTTATAATTATATAACCCCACTCCCACGTGATAATATAACATGAATGGATTAATTTACCCCTACTAATTAATTTTAAAGTTTTTTTGACTAATTTGTCTTTACTACAAATATAACAATATTTGAACTAATTTGCCTTATAAATGATATATTGACTATTATATAACCATACTCTTACATAATAATATGATAATAAACAGACTAATTAGCCCCTACAAATTATATTAAAAAAAATTTCACTAATTTGCCCCTATTCATTATTTTGAAATTTATCACTAATTTACCCCTAGTAATTAATTTAATGTTTTGACTAATTTGCCCGTACTAACATGATAATAAAAGGACTATATTGCCCTTGGACTAAATTACCCTTACTAAGCTTATTTTCTCAACCAAATTTTATATAAATACATAACCCTAACTGTCGCGCCTCATTTTTTGAAAAATAAAATAATTTTATATTATATATAGGTTATTGAAA